TGCATGTGCTAGACAAGTGCTCTACCGCTGAGCCACAATCCCAGCCCCCTTTCTTTTGTTTTTATGTGGTACCGAGGATTGAACCAAGTACCCCTTCCTTTGAGTCACAACCCCAGCCCCTATATATTTAATTTTAAGACCAGGTCTTGCTAAGTTGTTGAGGCTGCCTTTGAACTCACAATCCTCCTGCCTCAGCCTCCAGGGCAGCTGGAGTTACAGATGTGTGCTACCATGGGCCATTTTAAACAGGGTTTAAAATGCCTGCTTTAAAATAGGGCTCTGGTTCTTAAAAGGGGGTGACTGGGAACGTCCAGCTGAGAGGCGGACCCGTGGGCTGGGGAGAGGGGCTTGCTGACCTTGCCATCAGTGGGGTTCAGCAGGCCCTGGCCTTGACTGCTGGGAGAGTGAATCTTTTGCAGATTCCGCCACCTCCCCTGCTACAGAATTGTCCCAGGAATTGGCAGGCAGCTTTCCACAGCTCCCCTGGTGGGGAAGAAGGGAGGGAGCAAAAACTTCGCCAAGAGAGGGCACAGAACTGGGTCTCAGGCAGGACCAGAGCACCTTGGTGATGGGGAGAGGGGAGGAGGGTCAGGCATAAGAGGAGCTCCTGCCAGGGACTGGCCATGGGTTGACAGAGTCCCAGTCTCACTCGCCTGGCATCAGGCGCCTGAGGGCAGGGCCAGGCATGGGTCCAGCTGGTCAGGGGCATCTGCTGACCTCACTTTGGAACCCCAGAATCTCCTCACCCTATCCTCACGTACACACACTGGGACCTGGGGATCTGGGACAATCCCCGAGGTCAGGCACAGACCTGCACAGCAGCCAGTGGCCAGCTGAGGACCACTGCGGGGCAGCAGGAGGCAGCTGTCTGGGCGAGGGCAGGGGAGGCAGGCAGGTCTGATCCAGCGTGGTGCTGGACCCAAGCTCAGAGCCATGAAATGGGCTGACCCCCACCTTCACCCTGTTCTCAAAGAAAAGAGACCCCAGGAATGTGGGGGCCTTTCCATGGAATTCCCTTGACAGTGCATGTCAAGGCACAGGGGTGGGGGACAGCATTACCCAATAGCCACGAGAGCCCCTAATCTGTAAATGTCCAGTGCAAATCAGAAAAAGATACCCGCTCCCTTCAAGGGCATGAGGAACCCCAACCCGCCCCTTTGGGTGAGTTCCTTTCCCAGAAGACACCTGGCCTCACCCCTCAGCACACAGAGGAGAATGCGAGGCCCAGCAGGGGCTGTACTTGCCCAGGGTTGTCCAGCAGATCAGGGCAGAGCAGGCCACGTGGTCCCGAAGCCTCTTCCTGGGGTGTGGAATGCCCAGCGTAGTGTCCCCACCCACTGTTCTACCCAGCCACTTGTGCCCTGTGTGTGTTCTATTGGCGGATGCCCCAAGTGCCAGCCCTGAGGGGCACAGGCTTCCAAGGGGAAAACCCACATGTGAGCAGAAATCACTCCACACCTGCAGGAACCTCTGAGCCAGGGGTGGGACTCTCCTCCCCACTTCCACGCCGCCAGGTGACTCCGGACCTCACTGTGTGCAGCACTGTGCCTCCTGAGGATGCGCTGTGTCCTCATGGGCTTCTGAGAAGAGACAGCTCTGTCCACTTCCCATTGGTGCTGGAAGAGTTGGCAACATCAAAATGCCAAGAATCCCGGGCTTACCAAGAAGGGTCAGCTCTGGAATGAAAACTGGCTGGGTGACCTTGAGCAGGGACGTAGAAGGTGGGAGAGCCTGACTGACCAGCCAGCAGGGGAGGTCCATGCCCAGCCAGGTTCCCACCTTCAGCCCAGAGAGGAAGATCACATCTGAAGAGCAGCCCTGGGGTGTCCCCACAGCACGATGGCCACTCACACCCTTCTGTCCAGCCCAGCAGGTCAAGCTGCCCTGTCTACCAGAGAGCACAGGCAGCCTTGCCTCTGTGCCAGGAAGTCTGCCCCGCCCTGGCCCTGGGGCTGAACAGGACAGAACCTGCCAAGGTCTGGGATGAGGAGTAAATTGAGAGGTTTAAGCACCAGGCAGGGCCACACCTGGGCTTGGG